CTAAAAATTAATGTACAGTATATTACATTATAATATTCTATATTTTAATCATCACAAACTTGATTTTCTAAAAGATCTTGCATAGAATCTTAACATTTCAAGCTCGATATTAATAAGCGTGATACGCCTCCCTTGTGGTCACCCGAATTAATTTCGACGCTCACCAACGATAGTTCCAGAAACCATCGAATTCTAAAGAGTAAAAAAAAAGAAATATAGCCAGGAAGTCTGTTTCTCGAACTCTGGCTCACGTGGTCCTCACGTGGTTTCCTGTTCGTGGTTTTTCCACGTCTAGCCAGCATATGCAAGATTGCGTAACAAAACACACAAATCATACACGGCGACAGAAGAAACAGAACAGACTGATTTATGTACACGGTACAATGGCCTATCTGCTATTCGCCTGACGAAATGCACTTTGGCCAACGAACTTATCTGTCCGTGGTATGTGGGGCTCGGAAACAGAACGATCCTCCTGTGGGACACCGTCGTTTCGAGCAAAGACGAAAACGCGAATACCACGTTGCAATGCATGCATGAGAAAGCGCGAAAAAACGCGATGATATTGTCAGACACGTGTTCATTTTGTCGTCGACGTTCCTCTCGAAAAACCTGGTATCAATAAACGAAGTACATGAATACATATGCTTGCGATGAGTTATGTTCAATATGGAGGGTTGTACGTGGGCACATTGAAAATATACGAAAATATTTTTATATAATAATTATTACGAATCAATGTGATTACAGTGATGTTCAATCATTCAAAACAATATTTAATTTTAATGTTAAGTTTGATTTGATGATATGTCATGATATAGTACCTGCAGCATGTCACTCTGAGGACTGATGTTTGGCAACGATTATGTACACGCATGTTTTATTAACGTTCTTAATATAAAATGCCAGGTTATCAATTGCACGAAGTAGTAAATGTATTTTGAATTTTATTCAAACTCGAAAATTCTTGAAAATATTGAAAGTGATTTTAAAATGATGAACATGCAATATTTAAATTAAAATTGTTCCCTGTAATTGGTAATAGGTAAACTGTTCATTTGAAATATTAATCTACACATTTTGTATATTGGACATGTTCTAAACAGTTAGTAACTGTAAAATAGTTCTTCAGTACAGAAATGCTTATCACAAACCAGACTCTTATCTCAGCAACAAAGCTGGACACGTAAGCGCATTTCCCAGATACCGAAACAATCCACCATAATTAAAGAAGCATTTCCTGAACTGGTCACAGGATAAAATCCTATAAAAAACAAACCGATAGCATCCGAGTACCGGTTGTTCGCTCTGTAGAAAAGACCCATCGCGGTCAAATTCAAGCTCGCGCCTTTAATCTATCCCGCTGTCGGCCGAATACGAAATGAAAGTGGAAAAAAACGAGAAAGTAAAAGGAAAAGAAAAGAAGGATGAACGGACACAAAGGCTGAGGCGAGCAACGCGACCTCGGTAATTAAAACAAGATGGAACACCTCGGTCAATGCAATAAATCTCACCATTTCCCATTCTTCCCCTCGTTTATCCCTACTCCAGGTTCCCCTGTTTCGGCCCCTCCCCCGATATATCTTCGACTTTCCCCTTATCCGTAGATCGGAACTAGCCCCTTCACGACGTCCGACGATTTATTTTATTATTCGGTAGATTTACTGACGGCTACCGTTTATTGGAATCCACGTCGATCGGAGATTATGAGGCAACGCATCGAGACGCGGTGTCCATCGACCAACTTACGAAACGGATAATTAACGACGATGGAATGAATAATTGCTCGAAGGCGTCACGCGAATAACGTATACATCGACGGGATAAGTGCGGTGATCGTGCAATCGCCATTTTTCTTCGTTTTGTTGCTGCAATTCGATCTCGCTTGGGAATCATCGGTTTTTTCCTGATACACTTTAGTAGTTATAACATTTTTAAATAGTACAAAGATTAACATTAAATTATGCTGATATAATCGTGACAGATTTAGGAATTGAAAATGAATTTAAGTATTGATACCCTGGTGTCTAGTTGAGTCGATATACTTATGGGACGTTCGTATTAAAATTATTGATAAAACACAATGACACTATTATATATTTCTTTATGTAATTTTAGTTGAAATTTCAGACTGAATTTCATGTATTTGACAGATTTTATAGACATATCGTTATGGGGCATTGATAGTGACTCAAGAAATATAAATCTTAGAACAGATACATTTTAAAATTGATCTCCATCAAAATAATAAATACCCTTACTAATCATGAACATACATTCTACATGACAGAAATAAAAACATAACGTGGACCTGTATTTTTCAAAAACAATTTTGAAATTTTTGTAATTATACCACTAATGTCGAGCAGAAAAAAAATTTCGGGTTTCAATAGCTTCTATTTTTTTTTACTAAGCAAGTATTCTCGATTTGAAAAATTTGAATCCATCCTTGTCACGAACGATCTCGTTAAAATTTCTCGCCACCTTGCCCATCCATGCACGAGCTTTCGCTTCATTTACATTCGTGCCTTGGCCAATCAGGCTACACGTGTTTTACACGTGATAAAAACGATCCAAATCCCAGGGACACTGTTTCCCCTAGGTGACGAAGTTAATTGCTCATTTTCTCATTTCGTTAACGATACGACCGAGGAAACGGAGCACGTGTAAAGGAAATCGACCATCGATCTAACCACATGGCTTTTGACCGAGATTTTTGTTTCTGACGTTAGTTTGATTAATATCTTCTCTTTAAATAATTGCAATTAAAGTACTCTTATTGTGAATATTAAATCATAAAATAATATTGGTAAGAATATTCGTGCTGAATACAATTTTATGGTGCAATAATCAAATTCGTTGAAATAAGTTTCAAATTTGTTATTTTGTATTATAAATATTATTAAGGTGATATCGTGACTCTCAAAATAAAAAATTATTATATATATAATAGTACATTTTAAATATTTTTTGGCATTTTTATTATTTGGAATATGCGATGTAGGTACACATTTAATGTTAATTATTTTTGGATTAATTCGATTTATTATTCGCTCAAGAATTAATAATATATTCTCTGCTATCCAAAGATTGCTGTTAGAAGTCGTTTATGCTAGAAACGAAAATATCGAATTTTCAAATTGACCTAATATCAAAAGTTCAATTATTAATCACTGATACCAGTGGTTTCAATCTGTTATTCGAATGAATGTCCAGTAAATAATTTCAAAAATTTTTCTTCATAATTTTTGTGTCATGAAAAGATATATTGTAAAGATACACTATCTTTCACAGTTTGATGTTTCGTAAACATTAAAATTTGAATGAAAAGACCTTTAAAAGATATTTTAATAAATTTTCAAATTTATTCAACACTTAAACTTCATCGCCTAATTATAATTATCTTCAATCTCGATATTAGACGAATACCTTATCCGAAGCATTCAAAAGAATTTATTAAACTGACGGAACGTGTTAAAAGCAACGAAGGCGTTTAAGAATCGAACGAAACTGAAAGTTCCACACAGAATTCCAGAAGACTAAATTCCCCATTACTTCCTCTTATTACGTGCTCGATTAACTTTCCGGCGTGAGCGGGGCCACTAAATTCAGCGGTGTGTAATTAACCAGCAGCGGTTTAACGAACCGCAAAAGCATAAAATTCTATTTTCTCGGTCAGATATACTCCAGTTACTTATACGTTTATCTCTCTAATCTGAACGTTATTAATATAATCGCGGATACGCGGCCCACGCTTACAGGATATCACGTGTTCCAATCAGCACTTGCACAGGAAATGATCACAGGAAATATCCAGACTTGGAAAAAAGACTCGTAATACGCTGAAATTTCCTGAATGAATGTTGCTACAATTTTTTGATCGAATAAAAGTCGGTTCATGACTCAGTTGAAATGATTCATTCATAGGATACTTATCGGTGACAAAAGGTGCAGGAAATAATTAACTCCTTGAAAATCAGCGATGTTTTATTTTAAACTTAAGAATAAATTTTCAAAATTTATTAATTTAATATCAAATGAAGTTTAATCTAAACTGACACCTTTTAAATTGTGTCGAATTTTCTTCCGAGTGTGGGGAAATAATTTAACGTGAAATAAAATACATACCTTTTTCGAAGAGTAAAACTCGAAAGATCCTGTCGGGTGAGAGAAGTCCACAAAAAGGCAACGGTGTAATATTAATGCATCATTTATTTAACACCTATGATGATGATAACATGAGATGGATACGATGCGCTTAAGGTAGAGACTAATCGTCCGCTATGCAAGAAACGACGATGCGAGTGATTGTGCGTTTGTGACTATTGAGGGAAAGGATATAAAGAATAATTATGACAATTCGGATAGTAACTATTTTTAATTTGCTGACTCGGAGAGGTTTCAGAATTTCTGCAGCGCCCGGTGTTATGATACAATTAATAATAGTAATATATATATTTATAATATATATATATGGCAAGATCATTGGTCAATAAATATTTCACTTATATCTGCAGCTAAATCTTCCAAATAATTACTCCTGTTTTGATCGTCCTCTTTGATAAACGATTCGTAATAAATCAGTTGTCACAACCATTAAATTCATTAAATTCATCCTTCAAAATGAAGGATTTCGTGGATGATATTGAAGGTACATTTTCTTTTCAATTTGCTATCTTTTGCTTTATCCGAGAGGACGATCAAAGTGGACACTCAAGAAGCAATACGATCGTCTTGTTCGATCTTCTATTAATTATTTGGAAAATTTAGACACATTGGCCCATTCCTCTACATTTTATAAACACTTGAAGACCCGTTAATCTGTAATTTTTTTTATATTGCAATATTGAATCATTGAGTAATGCACACTTAATAATTCCATGAAGTATTAATTTTGTTAGGTATTATCAAACTTTCAAATTTAGTAAATTTCTCACATCGTTGAATTGAGAAATTTTCAATTAGAAAATTTAGACATTTTGAAATCTCACTTACAGCTTTAAAAATTTAGAAATTCCAAAATTTAGAACTTGAGAAAACTTGCAAACTTTCAAACCCTACAATGAGCCACCCACTTTGTCAATACAACAAGAATGTGTTGAAATCATAGTAGTAGATATTATCGAACTACAAAATTAACAGGTGTTCAAGCATTAAAAACTAGAGGTCGTTCTCTCATCGGCCATTTTAGACATTCATCAGTCACTATGAAGGTAATAGTGCGCGCAAAGTATTCCTCTAATACTATCTGAGTTGTATTCTAATAGTAGATCCTTAACGTAAATTAGGTAACACTATGTACACTTGCTCGACGCGGCATGAACGATCTCTCGTACGTTCTTCCGGTCGTATAACAAAGTTCTTTCCTACTATCCTCGAATCTCGGTTCTGCCAGAAAGCCCATGGATCCTCTAACATGCTAATATCACGTGACATCGTCTAAGCTCCTCGATCGTCCTTCGATCATTCTCTATTTAGCTGCTGGTTATCTTCCGAGCACAGTTTTGTTCCTTCGCAGAAACTGCTCGATCGAAGAACAACAACGGCTGCGTGGTTTCGAGCTCGTGCTTTTTTCGCGATTGCACCCACCGGATGTTGCGAATTAGTTCGGTCCACGAGACTCTGGAGCTCGCTTCTAGAACCAGTAGAGGTCTTTGGATTCCTGGACCTGCGATTCGAGGCCTGCAACAAGGAATAACCATTTTCATTACTTAATTATTTGGTCATTGCAAACTTTCAAATTCAAACTTTCAATCAACTACATTTTGGAAGTTTGAACTTGATAGTTTGAAAATGCAGTTGACTAAAAATCTGAAGATTTAGTGACTTTAATACTGAGTGACATTAATAAGTTACAAATGTATAAAGTCTATTAACCCATTAACCTATGATTTTTCCCATAATTACACCAGAAATAATCACTGTCGTAATATTAAAATAAATAACAAACCAAATGTTAGACATACATCGAATTTAGCAATCTTCAAACTGTAGGCTCGATGTCATAAAGGACTTAATATCTACGTTTTAAAACAGGTCCGCTTCAAAAGTTGTAAACATTAAGCCACTAGTACCTGTTTATCCCCAGAGAGGTTAACGATCTTAGGACAGAACTTTCACGCACCGGACAAGTAATTGGTTATATTCGAAAAGGTAGGAATGACTTTTTCGTCCGAACGGGTCGGCTCATCGTTCATCGAAATTTATAACGCGGCCAGCCGCGTAATAAAAGAAGAGTCAACGTTTTGACGGATGCGAGGGTGCATAACTGGTGATGGCACCCGCTGCGCGACACGGACGGACAAACCGACGGACGAACCGAGGGAACGAATGGGTCGAACAGACGGACGGACGGACAGACGGGGGACCAACAGAATATGTCACGAGATCGACCAGTTAAGATCTCATGTTCTTTACAACGGTTGCACGCATGTGACCGGTGCTATCTTTGATCTCGATATCTCCGAGAGTGACCCTGCGGATCATCCTGGTCCTTCGCTTCGTTCTCTTCGACGTTCTATTCGTAATTTACAGGAAGTCTATGATCGTTTTGTCGAATCATTTAACATTTTATTCCTATAAGTATAATTCTACTTTTATATTCGAGAGGTTCTGTACGATTGTACGCACTTTTAGGACTGATCAACACCTTGTTAGGTATTTATTTGAATACTGATTTTCAGTGTTTGATTAACTATGCTTTTTGGGTTCGTTGTAATAGTCGGTGCAATATAGCAACCTTGTGTACATAAATTTTATTATCTAAACTACGCAAGCATCTGAGTATGAGCTGATCAGTGTGTGCTCTTTATACGTACAACATGTGAGGTTATAACCTTCTTGTTGGAAACCAATTGGCAACCTTGTTGTTCTTATAACCTTCTTGTCGAACTATGCTTGTTGGGTTCCTCTTTATTGTGCAGCAATAGTCAGTGCAATATTACAAGTTTGTGAACCTAAATTTTATTGTCTAAACTATGCTAGCATCTGAGTATGAGCTGATTAGTGTGCGTACAACATGTGAGGTTACATACTCTTTATACGTACGTGTGAGGTTATTATAACCTTCTTTATTATTACAACAAATATGTTCTTAGTAAAATACTCAGCTTCGAGAAATGTACATACTGTCACTGTTATGAAATGATAAATAATGGATTACTGCGTCCTCACTCTCTCCTCGTTTTTCCTCATCATACGTTTTTCTAGCCACTATTTATTATCATAATTAACACTTTTTACTCATATGAAAGGACCTTCGTCAATTCCTTTGATCGTCTCATACATTTTCCAGCGTCATCGTGGCAACCGAGGAAAGAATATCCTTCAAGGAAGGCCTCGCTAAACGTCAATCGTTCGTGACTCGAATGGTCACGCCGACTATTTCGCTCGTCGTCAACGTCACCATCGACATCGCCCAATACGTTTATTAAGCATTATCTTCGCGTATCGTTGTAATTTCAGGCAGTGACAAGGAAAAAGATGGACGTTTTCGAGTACTTAAATTCGTGGCACGTGGTGCACGACACGGTCGATTAAGTTTGTATCTGTCGGCGTGCACGTGTCAGCACGTGGATCTACCTGCTTCAAAGTCAGCGCTACGTGTGCGCCCTATGAGTTGCCATATTGGCGCATGCAGGCCGAAAGAAACACGGGCGGAAGCACAAAAGATTTCATCTTGCCGACGAACACCGGGAACGCGTTTCTATTTGATAGAAATTCGCTCAGTTGGAAAATAATTCTGGAACACGCCGTGTGAGAAGAAAACTGGCTTCAAGTATAGTCAACTAATAAATAATAATAAAAAAGGGAAGATCGACAGAATTAATTTTGCTACTTTGTAAACGAACAATTGGAGGATATTTAAGAACATCACTGGAGAAGGAAAAGTATGTTGCCAGAGCGTTAACAAAATTTTTGTTTAAATTAATGATCAATCAAGAAAACATGTCGAATAGCAAGTGTATTTTACAGAAGAGCTAGTTTTAGCAGTTACCTACTACCACAGGTCAATAAAATTAAGTCGCTATGATCATTACATAAAATAATATTTTAATGTCCTTTTAGATTGTAGAATACATTGATTTGAATAATGGGACACTTAGTGGAAGATATAGCTATCATTGTCAATAAAAAGGTACTTTCGAAATGGTTTCAAAGAATAAGTTTAAAGAATTGAAATTATTAACAAATGAAGAAGTTTGAAATTTCCGGAGTTATAAAATATGTGTACAGTTGATAAATTGTTGGGATGAAATTGAATTAATCGCATGTCACCGGAAATGAAATATAGCAATTAACCGTTTGAATGGTGTGACCAACAAATCCCATGTAATACGGTCGATTCGAGAGGAAAGTGGAGAAACCCCTGGCCATAATCGACGCGGGTTCTTCCGCGTAAATACGAGAGGGTGACTCGAAAAGCCGGCGAATGCTGGGCAATATTGTCCGTGCTATCTGACACACCATTTACCAGCAACACCCCCGTCCATTTTGTTCCAGCATATTGGCCTCGCATACTCGGCCGTGAAAACGTTATAGGCACGTACGTGGTTCGCATAAATCGTCTTGACACTTATGGTACATTATTCGGTGGTTACGGTCTTCCGTATTGAATTAGGATGCTCTCTCACGGAGATTATGATCGCACGTGAGCCACAACCAGAAGTCGGGAATTTACACGATATTGGGTTATGATTAAATCATGTTTGAAATACATTGTTCGCATTTACCACAATTATATTAATACGATACAATATGTTAATTATTCTATATGTGATATTTTCTTTAAAAGAAATATTAAAAAATTGTAATATACAGGACATATTCTATGACTGATATAATTTACTATAATTATGATATAACTTACTACAATTGCTACTATAAGCTATCGTTGTTGTAGTATTATTGATAACATGACTATTAAATTATTAAATGTATAACTGATTATACTTCAAAGCATAAGAAATAGTTTAACTACATTTAATTAAGTTGTGTCATTTATTAAAATTGACAATTTAAATTCATCGTACAAATGTCTTTTAAATTGGTTTTCTTTATTCAGAAAGCTTGTTCATTCGAAAGTTTGTTTATTCAAAAGTTTACAGGAAGAAAACGAAGTAATATTGAAAAGTAATTTATTAATATGAAACATTTTTTTTACTAAATCTTCCCTTAGAAATAGTTATTGTTGAATGTTCGTAGCTTTATTGTTCAAGCGAAGAATACGGCAGCGTGTTTCCGTTTGAAACCTCAGACGCACACAAGTCGATGAATACAAAGTTACGGGCGAACGCACCTGTTATGAATGTTTCAGCATTCAATATCGCGATATCAAAGAGCAAAGCAAGATGGTACAAAGAGAAATTCCCTTTGGTCCTTTTAGCAAAGAAACGGCTCGCAAAGTCGAAGGTAGCTCGAAACGAAACACGGGAATTTTGCGATTCTCTTCTTTGTGTTTTACAGTAAACTTAATTACCTGTGTAACGTAGTCGAGAAAGACCGAATAAATTATAATTTCGTTTCACAAAATTATGCGCAAATGAAATAACATTCTTCTACAAATTCAACTGGAAAATTTCATTAACATTTTTATATTTTTGAATACAGCATCTGATTTTACTAATTGGGCCTCTATCAAAAAATACATCTGAGAAAAATATAAATGTATTCAAATAATTATTTTTACTAGGCACAAGTTTTTTGAAAGTATATAAGTTGCAATATTTTTTTGACACAAATTTTATAATTCTTATAAATTAAAATTATTCAAACTTGCAATTTAAAACAGAAACCTTCATAAGTCATAAATAAGTTTAAGACCGTAAACAAAATATGAAAATAGTTCCTTTTGACAATGTATAATATAATGAAACATGTTAGATAAATCTTTAAAAGAAAACAAAAGTATTGAAATTATTTAAAAAACAACGTTTTCATTGCTTTCTTTCGACATTACCATCGGGTGGCAAATTGAACGTCAAAAGACGAGAGTTGGGCATGCGGATTAAATTAAATCGAACACCCCCGCTTTAAAAAGCGAAGACCGACCCCTATGATGTGTCTACCCTACTCGTTGTCGAGGGATACGTATCGAAAGCATCGAAATGACCCTTATCAATAGGGGTCAAACCCCTCGCAGCCCGAAATCCAATATACTCGTGGTAAAGGAGAGACCCCACTTTGATTCACCCTGTCTCGAAGCTCGTATGCATCGATGAACGAGTATTAATTGCAAATTAAGCCACTAAATCTTTGTTTTCGACGTACACTATTCTGTAAAAAAAAATTTCTTGAATTAAACAATGTACGATTTGGATATTTACTTGAAATTGTGGAAACGTTGAAATTTAAGAACTTGAATACTTAAAAATCCCAGAATTTGTAAATATCGAAACATAACAGGCTTGAAAATTAAAGTTAAAAAATTCGCAAACTTAAAAATCTTGAAAACTTGAGAATCGAAACTTTCAAATATAGAATTCAAAAGAAGAGTTCAAAATTTCAAAGAAAAGAGCATTAGCGAATTTCTATTTTATTTTCCCTTTCTCGTAAATTTTCATAAACTTTTTCCACTGAGTGTCAGGGAAAAACTGATGATTATCCACTACCCGCTATGATTGCAATTCGACCAAAATTTCGCGTAACATTTCGCAAAATAATAAGCAACAACGAATGTAGAG